TGAAAACAGTAGGCTGTCGCGCTGCTGAGTGAGAGAAATAGCAATTGTGCCAGCGAACATATTGCGAAGTCCCTCCAAAGGACTCTGCTCGAACAGAGTACGTCTTTGTAACCTGAAAGGAAGCATCTGCTGTTCCCACCCACTCACGCGTGGGCTTTTGCTTGCTCACCCACTCACGAACAACATACCGTGGGCCACCAGGATCATTCTTCTGATCGATGGCAGCTTGACTCTTCAAGGTGGACACCATTTCCTTCACGGTAGTGATGTTGCAGCTCGGATGCTTTAGTGCCCGTTGTAGCCAGGCATTGCACATGCTGAACAGTGAGTCCACCAAACCTTTTCCATGCTTTTCGACGAACCTAGGCAGTGGGAAGGTCGCATTCACTGCGCGATTACTCTAGGTCAGGGGGGCTATGCGAAAATGAGAGTTTCGAAACAGAGAAGGAACAACGTGATCATAAACAATCAGCAAAAGTAGTTTTAAGCCAACATGAGGTACCAGTTCACAGACAGCTTTAAGCTCTTTCCACGCACAGGTTCTTCCTGAAACCAGACCAACAAAGAATATGTTCGAAAATGAGGGCCCGCATCAAACCAACAAGTAATCGAAGAGACATCGCGCAACTCCTTGGCGAGGATGCTCAATTGCTGTGACGCCGCCAGCGCTGCCTGCTCTATTATGTCCGATAGCAGGAGAACGTTGATCTTCCGAGGTCTTTCTGCTTCCTGGCCTAGGAACAGCACTGCTCCAAAACATGAGACCTCTGCTCTTGCAGTGGCCCAGTATTGGTCACCTGTCTGCACGTGTGTCATTGGTATGCTCAGATTTTGTTTCCAATCACACCACAAAATGGCCTCACCAGGCCCAAGCGCGTCAATGTGGGCAGAGCAGGCATCGCTTTGCAAATTGGAACTGACTCTGTGGAATTGGTAAGCTGCAACAAGCTTGCAAAGCCACTGCAGCTCATACTCCACAGGTCCTTCCTTTTCATGCAAGGCGAAGATCAACTTGCGTGAAACCGCTTGAAGCTCTTTTCTGTATTTCTGTGTGTGCTGGTTGACGTACAACAAATATTTGCGGCACAGGGAAGCTGGGTCTGGGTTGTCTGAAGCAACAGTTTCTGCGTCGTCGAAATGCTGGAAGTACTTGTCATAGGTTGCATGGAGATCGGCGCGCATGTTGGCAATGAAGCTGTTCACTTTCCTGACTTGGAGAAGGCAACAACCCCCGCGTTACGCTACTTCCAAAAAAGTAATCCTACTGAAGAAAAAGCTTTTTCGGTCCCAAGAACGGCAAGATCTTTCCCGAGAACATGGCGCAGTGGTCGCAATAGTCGGTCAAACCATGCCCGCGCCTTACATGAGGGCACTCTGCTCGTACAATGCGCGTGAAACTCATATAGCTCATCTTTGCAAGCAACTGCTCGTCTTCCAAGTAGATCTGCAAAGGGCTGCTAGTCCAACGTCTCACCACAACCTTAGCGATGAACATGTCTTCAATCTTCATGTTGCGCTATAGCGATCTCTTGCGTACAAAACCCCATGGAACAACCAAAGCAAGAATGAACATTGCCACGGGACAGCTTCCGCTTCCTTGCTCTTGGCATTCTGCGAAGGCACCATCATAAACTTGGATGTCTCCACCGAGTTTCGTAGGGCAGAACTTTTCACCAAATCCACCACAGCAGGGTCATCTCGAATCCTCGGCCTACCCAACCGAGACACGGGCTTGTGCGTAGTAGAAGCAGTTCGCCACACTCTCCGGGAAATGTGAATTCCAAATTGCTTGGCCGACCTCCTATTTTTAAAGCCACCCTTCTGCACGGATTGCACAAAAGCAGTCCTCACCTTGTGGTCTCGCGAGGGCAGATTCTGGCTAAGTTCTGAGAGCACAGTGGCCAGATCCCTGCACCGGCATGACATGCTCAAGCCCAATGTTTGAAGTTCATCAGCAAGACCCGGATACATCGAAGCAGCTTTGCGTAGTAAAAGCACAAGAAAGTTGGCTATCTCTGTTGCGCCACTCTTGCGAGCATTAAGGCCCTCAAAAATGTCCCGTATCATATTGTTCTTGGACCAGTTGCTTGCTGTACTGAATTTGCCCAAACGTCTACCTCGTCGTCGTCTGGAGGGCAAGTTCTCTTTCGCAGACACTGGATCGTCAGCACGCATTTCCACATCAGGAGCACGTTCTCTAGCGTCCTCATCTCGGTGGTACGCTTCGTACGGGAAGAAGTTCTAATTGTTCGGATCTGGGCAAAGATTGAAACCGTTGGGAGCATTCAGTCCTCTTCCAGTTGTCCAAATCTCGCCGCCTGGCATTCTCTCCCTTTTGCTGCTTCGCGTTCCTTTCTAGGCTGTTGTCTCTTTGCTTTCCAAATTGTCGGTAACGGCCTGCGTCTCTCAACCGTTTTCTTTCCACAGGTGTCAACATCATAGCGTAAGGACATTCACTTTGGGCCGCAAAAGGCGAACTACTCACAGATGTCATCTGCGTGCACATTCTGCTAGCGGATCTCTAGCGCCTACGCTAGCGACAATCACTCTGAAAAAAAAATATGAAAATCTGTAGTCCGTAGTATAGTATTTTGATAGTACACAATACCTACTATAACAATCAATCGCCCTCATACAGCACAGAGCGAACAGTCACAGAACAACATCAACAAACATGCTTCACACCTCACGACATTCTGCACACTCGACTTCTCTACTGCGCTCCCCTGCAGTCTTGAAACCCCGGGCCCCAAACCACCATGCGCTATCACAGCGTGGGTCTAAATCAGTGAGACTGCTTCAAACGCCTCAGGATCTCTTGCTGGCACTCAAAGATCATTCTCTCAGAAGGAGTCATCTTAACATCGCTGGCTCCTCTGAATTTGAAGCTTAGACAGCGAACAATTTTCGAAAAAGATCAAGCTACATAAAAACATATGCAAAAGAAACATGTGCTCTATGGAGGATACAAGCTTCGCTTCATCCGCTTGTTGGCCGACTCTTCCTTCACTGCTTCAATGATCTCATGGGTCCAGTTGGCTTCGGCCCGCGCATGGCGCCTTTTCAGGCTGGTCTCGCAATCTCCGCACAAGGCATTGCGGAAACTAGAGTTCCTGCCAGTACCGCACACCTTGCAAACTTTCGCTTTTGTTGTGCACCCTCCAAAGCCCACACGCCCTGCAGTGCCAACTCTCCTGCTTGTCTTCTCAGGGGTCTCGAGAGACAGGTCTGCTGCTGGCTTGCGAGAGGTGGTATTCACTTCGGCTCCATCACAAGGAGAACTCTCAACTTGCACGGCTGCTGGCTTAGGAGAGGTGGCCTTCACTTGAAAGGAAGCAACAGGAGAACTCTCAACTTGCTCGGCTGCAAGCTTGGGAGAGGTGACCTTCACCTTGGCTACAGCACCACAAGAACTTTCAACTTGCTCGGCAGCTGGCTTAGGAGAGGTGGCCTTCACTTTGCCTGACTCACCCGGAGAACCCTCAACTTGCTCGGCTGCTG